CCCTGGAGGCTCGTCCTAGGGGATGTTCCTGTAAACTCGTCCTGGAGGCTCGTCCTGGAGTCTCGTCCTGGAAGATTTACCTGGAGTCTCGTCCTAGAGGATGTTCCTGTAAACTCGTCCTGGAGGCTCGCCCTTTAGTTTCCTCCTAGAGGATGTTCCTGTTAACTCGTCCTGGAGGCCCGTCCTGGATGTTCCTGGGGTCTCCAAGAGGCGCTAGAGGTCTTGCCGCCGGGCCGGTGCCTGGAGCGCCCAGGGGGCCGGGTGGCCCACCACGAGGCTCCAGCGGCGCCCTGGCTCCAGCACCCCGCCACGCCCCGCCACCACTCCAGCGTAGAGGGCCGGCTCCATTCCAGAGCGTGCTGTGCTGCAGCTGGCGAGCCTCTGCAGCTGGCCCGCTGCTGCAGCTAGCCTGTTGCATTAGAGGGGGGTGAGGCCGGCCCGAGGCCCCGACCAGCATCACTGGCTACATGCAACGCGGCCGTGCCGAGCCGAGCCGGGCCGGGCGCTCCGGACGAGCGGAGCCGGGCGGGCGCGGTCCGGCCGGGACAAGTGCGTCGGGGCCGAGCCGAGCCGGGGCCGTCGGGCGGCTGCGGCTGGCTGCGGCTGCGGCTCGCCACGGCCCAGCCTGGTATGGCTGTTCTTGGGGCCGAACCTCACCTCGCAGGCTGCGAGCCCGCCGGCCGCGCCGAGTCGAGCCGAGCCGCGCCGAGTCGAGTCGAGTCGAGCCGAGCCGAGCCGGACGGGTAGTGGAGTGGTGTGGTAGTAGTAGTCACCGTCAGTGGGTTACTTTGACGCAGCGGGGACGGTCACGCCGCTGCTTCTCGCGTTTTCTCAACCTCTCTCCCTGTGAGACGCGTACGGTGCATGTGTGAGTGTGTGTGTGCGTGTCCACGCGCGCGCGCGTGTGTGTGTGCGTGTGCCAAAGTGATGTGGAGTGAAGTGTGAGTGATATGTGGAGTGTGATGTGGGCCAGGCGGCCGCCGGTGAGCGGCGCGAGGCGGGGCGGCGCTGCGGCGGGCAGGCTCGGCCCGTCATGAGCATGGTCATGAGCTCCCCCAAGACGGCCCGGCGGCGCCACCTCCGGGTAGTGCCGCCCCTGGGCCCCATGGCCCCCCTGGGGCTCATGCCCCCCGCCCCCTCACACGTCGCGCTGGGCCGCCCCGTGCCGCGACCTGCACGCATCGTGCGCACGACCCTGAAGACTAAGCCGGCCATGGAGGCCTGCTCCCCGACCGGCCACCCGGCCGCCCTGCCGGCACGGCACCTCCACCACAGGACCATGGGCAACCCGGGCGCC